CTGGAACTACAGGCGCACGCTACCACACCTGGCTAATTTTTTTGATTTATTGTAGAGATGAGGTCTCATCAAGTTGCCCAGGCAGGTCTCGAACCCACAGCCTCAGGCAATTCACTCACCTCGGCTTCCCAAAGCGCGGGATTACAGGTTGAACCACTGAGCCCGGCCAAGAGAATAAATCTTAATTCACATTGAATAAATTAAAATTTTTTAATAATTAAAATTAAAATTTTAAAATTATTCAGATTAAATAAAAATATTGTAGCAGAATACAAATAAGCCTAGTTTCTGATCAATTTACCTCACTTACTATGCAATTTATATTACTAGAATCATAAAAATTTTAAGCAGAACTCTTGTATTTTGTAACTATTTGAATTAAATCCCAGATGATATACATTTTAATGGCAGAGCTAAACTCGAAACACACATTTCAAGTCTTCATGTTTAGGGTAATTAAAGTAAGAGATGCCAAAGAAGAAAATGATAATATTCATTAGATGCTACCTTATTCTGAATAGCTATGCGAAAACAATGATGGAGGATTAACTAAAAAATGAAAATAATAAACAGAGCAAAATTGTTCATCCAAAGTTATTTACATTAGGGAGAATGCAGGACAAATATCGAAATTTTCTAAGAGCAAGCTTTGTTAAATTAATACTGAGATATTATTATGATATAGAAACTGAAATTTCAAAATAACTGTTGAAGAATACTTACTGACATGGAAAAATGTTTATTACATAGAGTTAAAAGAGCAAAACAACTTTTAAAACAGAACATACCACAATATATTCCTATACAGGACAGTCTGCCAATTCTAAGTTTACTATTTCCCTTCTCATGTCAGGAATACGGAAGGTAAAGGTGGAAAGTTTAGTTATAACTGGCAAATGCCCAGTTGTAAATGTTGCATTATATCAGTCATTAAAAAGATCAACAAAGTAAAGTGAGAAACTAAATAGTTTGTTTTAAACTAAATAGTGAGTTTAAAACAAAATGTCTTTGCATGAAGCTTCTCAAAGCTGACAGTCCAGACTTAAGTCAAACTCTAAACTTACAGCAATGACCAAACATACCAGTAAAACACCAAGAATATTTTCCATATATTTGTCTCTCTCTCTCTCTCTTTCTCAGAGAGAAAGAGAGAGAGAGAGAGAGGGAAGGAGACAGAAAAGAAGAGAAAGGAGGGAGAGAGAGGGGAAGAAAGACAAGGGGAAAGGGAGAAAAGGAAGGGATGAATACGCTAAGAAAGTATAAACTTACCTGAAATAGCCTGGTAAAAATATCAAATTCAAAAACTGAAATGTAATCATTACAAGTTAAATCAATTGTTGATTTCAGAGCCATAGCTTCCAGGCCAGAGCTAATTTGATGGACCTCATGAAGGCACTGTCTGAACACTTTCCATGGTACAATAGTTCTGTGTAGGAAGGGAGAAAAAAGGGTGGGGGGAGGTTAATTGAATCATGTGTCATTTAAGACATACCTTCCAATGAAAATTCAATCATACAATTAATTTAATTGTATTTGTATTAACAGACAAATATTGAAAAAAGTGCTCATAATTCAGAACATACGAAATAGGTTCTGCTAACCTGATTATTTTGTGTTTGCTAAGTATATGACAAAAAAATCTAAATTAATTTTTTTCTCTAATAGTTCTCGGCTATAAAGATATCTCTAGAAATACATCTGAAAAAAGGTATAAAGGTCAAAGTCTTATGTATCACGACCTCACACAAGATTATTTAACCATAGATCAAGATTACATTCTCCTTCCCTATTTTCTTAAAACAGTTACAAGATGAAGGGCTCATATAAAAATAGAAATCCTTTATACATTGTACAAAAGACTAACATGTATCCACCATTTCAAGAAGGATAAGATGGAAGGTCATCAAGACATTTCTGCCACCACCCTGATGTTTTTTGCAGAGTTGGAAAGCATATATTTAGCCTGTCATATTAGTACAAAAGGGAATCGTATATTTTTAGCCAACTACAAGGGTTATCTCATGAAAATTTATTTATTCAACACTTATTCCTTCATTAATTTATTTTTATTAAATATTATGCATAAAAAATTTTAAAGGTAATGCATTTACATGATTCACAAAGAGTCACAGAACAGCATCCAGGGAAAAGTCTCTCTCAACCTATATCCCCTACTAGACCAGTCTTCCTCTCACCACAAAAATTAGTAACACCCAGTATGCCTTTCTTAGTAAAGCTTTTAGTATGCATTTTTTAGTGAATGTCGATTCCTGATCAGGTAGAAGTAAGAAAGAAGAAGAAAGAAGCCATTCATATTTTTAAAAATTCAAGCTGCAGATTTCACAAGACAGAGTAAGAGCTATAAACAGGTCCTCTTATAAGACAGCAGATACATCTCACGTTTTTCTTTCACTGGTGACTCTTGAGAAACACAAGACTCAGGCAGTATAGACTATATTCTCCAACCCCCTCAATGAGGCATCACCATAAATGCACAAATTTGATATTCATTCAATCATTATCTATAGCAGTGGCTGCCAAACCTGAGCTTGTATCGGAATCACCTGAAGGGCTTGTTAACACAGAGATTGCTGATCCCCAACCCAAGATAATCTGAGACAGTAGCACTGGAGGGAAGTCTGAGAACTTAAAGTTGTAACAAGTTCCTGGCTGCTCCTGCTGCTGATCTGGGGACATCTGAGGTGCCACTGACCTATTACATCTCCCCCTACGGCTAAAGCAAGGCACTGTTGAGGAATCTAACTATAGAAATACAACACACCATCTATTTGGAGAACATACTGTAGGGGTAGAAGAAGGTCTGTAATGCTAAAGAATCCAAAGGGAGATATGTAAGGATAGCTAGTTACACAGCAAGGGCTGTAGAAATTCCAGGAAAGCGAACTATAGGAAGTGGCATAAATCAATGGTGAGACAGGCTGACAATACTATGCTGTATTTGTAAGAGAGTTTAAGTTTAATGTACCATTAAAAGAAGAAAAATATGAGACTAATACCTCAAAAGGCTTTTCTCTATGTATGAAAAAAAACAGGAAACCACAGAGAACTGAGGAGAGATACCACATCAGACGCCATTTAGAAGAAACGCACGTCAGGCTCTGATTAAGGTTCACAAAATGCCGCTGTTTGAAAAGAACAAGGAAAACTTTTAAGAATATTAGAAAGCTACTGATTTACAGTGAAGTGTAAATATGCAATTATGTCCAGTTCTATTATAATTACCATGATAGTAGTGCCTAAAAAGCACGTTTTTCTTTTTCAAAGTAAAGTTTCAAATACTCAGCACACAAAAGGGACATAAATCATGATACTCGGGATAAAAGAAATAAAATCAAAAAAGCAGTATAGATTTTCGCTTTTTTATAGAGAAGTTAAAGCATTTTGTTTTGTTTTATATATAAAGCATAAAACACAAAGCGGCAAGATAGAAACCTTCAACATTTATTTTACATATAAAGTATTAAAAAATAATTTGGCCAAATATACACTTTCCATATCTGTTACCATCAAAAATTATCCTAATCCAGTATTCAACGCCAATTCCGCTTATAATTCTTTTGAGTACTCAGTGATTTTCCAGAGCAAATTATGCAAAATGTATGAACTTCTAATATTTTAACCTAATGAACCCACTTTAAAACAACAATTTACAATGGGACAAGCTATATTTCCACGGTACTTGTGTAAATGAGACATTATAAGTTTACTTGTGATAAGCCAGAAGTCCAAACAGTATTCAGTGGACCCTTAATGAAATGTAGTCACAGGGATTACGAAGTCAGGGCATTATTTGGTTAATTTATCATATGCAAATGTTTGTACAACAGATACCCCTCCTTTGATCAGCTCAGCAAAACACCCACCATGTGTCGGAGGTAGGAACTGGGAAGAGGGGTAGGGGAAGGGGGTTTCATGAATAAAGAATTGAAACAGAGTACAAAGTCATCTTTAATATCAAACAAAAACTTAGATTGCTTTAAAATTATTGCACTGCCGGGCTCGGTGGCTCAGCCTGTAATCCCACACCTTTGGGAGGCTGAGGTGAGTGAATTGCCTGAGCCCGCGGGTTCGAGACCCGCCTGGGCAGCGAGACCTCATCTCTACAATAAATCAAAAACTCAGCCGGGCGTGGTAGCGCATGCCTGTAATTCCAGCTACTTGGAAGGCTGAGGTGGAAGGATCGCCGGAGCCCAGCAGGTCGAGGCTGCGGTAGCCGGGAGCGGCCATTGCACTCCAGTCTGGGTGACAGAGTGAGACTCCAACTCAAAAAAATAAATAAATAAAACTATTGCACTAAAGCTCTAAACTGTCTTAAGAGAACTGTAAGTGGCTACCACATACATTTCAGAGGTGTATGGGAAGAAGAGGACTGGTAGAGAATGAATTTTCACACCTTTAAGTAAACTTCAGCAACAAGACAGTAGTGGTTTCTCCTACATCTTCCTTTAGGGATGAAGCAAGTGAAAGAAAATATTAATGGCAATTGTTTTACAAACATGTAGAAACTTCAGTGTGCTGGCAGAGACCTGGGAAAAAGAAAAGAAAAGGAAAGAGAAAGAAAAGAAACAGAACATAAAAGGGCCAACTAATGCCAAGCTCTCACCAATACAAATGTCTTTTTTTTTTTTTTGAGTTGGAGTCTCACTCTGTCACCCACACTGGAGTGTAGTGGCCCCTCCCGGCCCCTGCAGCCTCGACCTGCTGGGCTCCGGCGATCCTTCCACCTCAGTCTTCCAGTAGCTGGAACTACAGGCATGGACTACCATGGCCAGCTAATTTTTTGATTTATTGTAGAGATGAGGTCTCGCCAAGTTGCCCAGGTGGGTCTCGAACCCGCGGGCTCAGGCAATCCACTCACCTCAGCCTCCCAAAGCACGGGATTACAGGCTGAGCCACCGAGCCCGGCTACAAATGCCTTTTAATGTTTTATTTGGCCTTTACAATGATGCAACACTTAAATGCAAGTTAAATTCATTTAAAAAATATACTGAAAAGCATAATTAACTGTCAGTATACAAAGAATGGAATACAAGACCTACAGATAGCTATGCACCTGAATAATAATATAATTTGGGGGTCTTTGGAATTCTAAAAAGAATAAGAGCTGTCATTTTTTTTTTTTTTTTTTTGAATCAGAGTCTCACTCTGTCACCCAGGCTGGAGTGCAGTAGCACGCTCACGGCCACTGCAGTCTCTACTTGCTAGGCTCAGGATCCTTCCACCTCAGCCTGCCAAGTAGCTGGATCTACAGGTGCACGCCACCATGCCCGCCTAATTTTTTAAGTTATTGTAGAGACGAGTTCTTGCCAAGTTGCCTCAGGTAAACTCTCACCTCTGCCTCCCAAAGTGCTGGGATTACAGGCGTGAGCCACTGTGCCCAGCAAGACCTGTTATTTATTGGTGACTTACTACCACTTGCCTACTACACAGAAATATATTGATGACTTTTTTTTTTTTTTAAAAAGTGATAGTTCTGCTCATATTATGCTATAACAACATGATAGATAAGACTATATTATAGTCATATTAGTAGCTCATAGTCTGTCACTAAAAAGTAAGAGTAATTACTGAAAGTATTAAAAATCAAAGTACACTTTCAAAGAATATAGGATCAATCAGATATGGGAAAATAAAACTGAAAAGATGTCAGCAGGTCAGCAACTGACAAATCACTTAAATTTCTAGACTTGTTTCTTCCTGTGTATACTTGGAGAAGCATATTAAACATTCTAATTTGAAAATCCTGAAATGTTAAAGACAAAAATAAAAGGAACGGAAGATAAAAAATGTTAGGAGATTCATGCTAAAAAAAAAAGGGGGGGGTAAAATACTGTATGAAATCACTGATACCAGTTTTATTTTTAACAGATATGAAAAAAACAAGCAACATTCCACATAACAAATTGTGAATACCAACAAAGTCTAGGGTGTTTGGAAACAGGAACATTCCTATACTTCTGGTGTGAATAAGAATTTACACAGCACTTCTAGAAGGCAATTTGGCAACAAGTTTCAAAAGCCTACATATTTTGATATAGAACATCAACTTCTAGGGACTTTGGCTAAGCAATTATATCCCCAAAATATACAGCAGTAAAAGACTTAGCCACAAGTCTCTTAAGTGCTGTATTGTTTATAAAAGAAATAATTAAAAACAAACATGTTCACTAGGAACAATATTTTGTGCAGAAAAGTATTTACTGTCATAAAAATGTACCCATGGAATTTGGGAATAGTATTTTTAAAATTTTGTCTTTAACGAGTCAATGTTTAAAACTATCTATACTGTCTGGAGATATCACAAATTTTAACTGATTACAACTGAAATGTAAAAAGGATTTTAAATGATTTTAAAACTTTTTTTTTCCTCTTTGGGTTAGAGTCTCACTTTGTCACCCAGGCTAG